TCTGTCTGTCTGTCTGTCTGTCTGTCTATCTATCTATCTATCTATCTATCTATCTATCTGTCTGTCTGTCTGTCTGTCTGTCTGTCTGTCTGTCTATCTATCTATCTATCTATCTATCTATCTATCTGTCTATCCATCCATCCATCTCTGTCTATCTATCTATCTATCCGTCTGTCCATCCGTCCGTCCGTCCATCCATCCATCTCTGTCTATCTATCTATCTGTCTGTCTGTCTGTCTGTCTTTCTATCTATCTATCTATCTATCTATCTATCTATCTATCTATCTATCTATCTATCTATCTATCTATCTATCTATCTATCTATCTATCTATCTATCTATCTATCTATCTATCTATCTATCTATCTATCTATCTATCTATCTATCTATCTATCTATCTATCTATCTATCTATCTATCTATCTATCTATCTATCTATCTATCTATCTATCTATCTATCTATCTATCTATCTATCTATCTATCTATCTATCTATCTATCTATCTGTCTGTCTGTCTGTCTGTCTATCCATCCGTCCGTCCGTCCGTCCGTCCGTCCATCCATCCATCCATCCATCCATCTGTCTATCTATTTATCTATCTATCTGTCTGTCTGTCTGTCCGTCCATCCATCCATCCATCCATCCATCCATCCATCCATCCATCTCTGTCTGTCTATCTATCCGTCTATCTATCTATCCATCCATCCATCTGTCTGTCTGTCTGTCTTTCTGTCCGTCCGTCTATCTAAAGTTTTACGTATTTTAATTGCATATAAAATGTTCCTTCATTTGGATTACACAGTTTTACCATAAATAATAAACTTGAATATCTGTCAATCAAATATAAATGAAACAAGATTTATATGTTTGAAATACACAACCAGGTTCATGCTTTTATTATTTTGAAATCAAAAGTCTCAATGGCACAGATTACTTTCCCCTTTGCCTGTTATATGTTTTTGCCAAGAAAAATGACTGACAGGTGTTTAAAAGCGCCGTTTAAGAGAGGAGTGTACGTCCGTCCTGTCCGTCTGGCTCTTTACAATGAATCTACTGTCTGTTTTCATATCAGCTGGGATTTCAAACGGAAGAAAACAACTCTTATGTTTATTAATTGTTCTTGGCTGTCTCTTGACTATTTCAGGATATTGTGCACAACACACGAAAACACAATTTGCACGGGTCATTTCTTCTTGTCTATGTTCCATCTAATGACAGGCCTGTAAAATGCATTGCATGTGTTTTATCTGGCTTTTAGCATGCATGTTTTCCCAGACTGCAGAGCATTAAATCTAAATGCAATATATGTGGCTAAAATCCAATGTATGCATTGCAAACGTTCAGGATGGCCTTACTATGTATAATATATTCACTGTATGTGAGTTTCCATGATGCCAGCTGTTTAGCTTCATAATGCCAATCACTGCATGTTCTCTCTGCTATTTTAAACTTATATCTGATTTATCAATGGTATTTAGATAAACTCTAGCAACTGCCTAGCAAACAGGCAAAATACCCTAGCAACTGCCTAGCAACTGCCTAGCAACCACCCAAAACACTCTAGCAACTCCCTAGCAACCAGTCAAAACAGCCAAGAAATCACTTAGAAGCTAGCAACCAGCCAAAGCTCTTTAGCAACTCCTTAGCAGCTGGCTAAAACTATCAAGCAACTGCCTTGCAACCAGCCAAAACAACCAAGAAACCACCTAGAACAACCTAGAAACCAGCCAAAGCACATCAGCAACTGCCTAGTGACCAATCCAAAACACTCTAGCAACTGCCTTGCAACCAGCCAAAACAACAACAACAACAACAACAAACACCTAGAATAATCTAGAAACCAGCCAGAGCACTTTAGCCTAGCAACCAAAAAAAAAAAAATCACTCCAGCAACTGTCCAGCAACCAGACAAAATGTTCTAGCAACTTCTCAGCAACCAGTGAAAACTCTCTAGCAACTCCCTAGCAAACAGTTAAAACAGCTAAGAAATCACCTAGAACAACCTAGCAACTGCCTCGTGAACATTCTAAAACACTCTAGAAACTGCCTAGCAACCAGCCAAAACACTCGAGCAAGTGCCTAGCAACCAGCCAAAAACCAGCTATTTAGCAACTACCTAGTGACCAATCCAAAACACTCTAGAAACTGCCTAGCAACCAGCCAAAACACTCTAGCAAGTGCCTAGCAACCAGCCACTATAGCAACTGCCTAGTAACCAATTCAAAACGCCTTCGCAAGTGCCTAGCAACCAGCCAAAAACCAGCTATTTAGCAACTGCCTAGTGATCAATAAAAAAACACTCTAAAGCCTAGCAACCAGCCGAAACACTCTCACGAGTGCCTAGCAACCAGCAAAAAAAAACAGCCATTCAGCAACTACCTAGCAACCAGCCAAAACATTCTAGCAGCATCTAGCAGCCACTCAGAACAACCTAGCAACCAACACCATAAAACCCAGCAACCACCTAGCAACCAGCCAGTAACACTCCTAGCAAGTGCCTAGCAACCACTCAGAATACCCTAGCAACTGCTTAGATATATGATAAGATCTCAAAACAACCAGATGTGAATCTGCTTTGTTGGATAGTTCAGTATATACTTGCAAAGTATAAGCTGCAGCTATGAGCTTACAAAAATAAAACTTTTGGCCCCTTAGCGTAAAAGTACAAAGCTTAAGGGCCTTTTGTTTTTTCCGTTCTGTCAATCCCCCCTCAGTTCAGCTCACATGTCTGAGTTATAATTGAGAGAATGAGAGATAAAGTGTGTTAAAAAAGTCATGAGTGCTGTAAAGCTGGGAGATGGACGTGTGCCAGGCTGAACCTCTAATAGTGCCAGCGATCCGACCGCTGAGGCCACAGCGCTCAGCTCTGGTCTCCCTCACAGTGCCCCTCTGATGGCCAACAGCAACAGAAGCAGGGCAGCAGGGAACACGGCCAGGGACGCTGTGCGAGAGATTTCCCCCATGGAATTCACTCATGAGATCACATTTGACCCCATTTACTTTCTCAATGCACTACTGATTCAGAACGAGGCGAAAAAGC